GGGTTTGAACCGCCAGCCTTCTGGTTAGCAGTCAAGTGCTTTAGCCACTATGCTACGAGCTCTAATGTTTCTTTTATTAGCTTATTGTATGTATTTAATTAATGGGTTCAAAATATACTCAAATTACTCATCTATTAACTTGGATAGTATTTGATAATATATTTAAGACATTTATGTAGTCAAATAATCTTGCATATTTATTAGTATTTGTAGTATAAGTATCATTTCTTCCAGTCTTAGGAGGCTGTCTGAATATTCATCATTGGCTTATCTACTTGCTTTAGTCTGTCTTTGAAATAGTTTGATAACTAGTATTTTAGGAAGTTTTATGAAAAGTTAATCTTCAAGTATATTTAAATATTGCTTGTTTCTCTTTATAAAGTTAACTATTCTTTTATGACACTAAAAATGCTTCAAAGATAATATCTTTAGAAGAATGAGTAGTATGGGCTATTAATTAGTAGGATGGACTAACTGTTATTGTGGGGAAAAAATGTTCACAAATGGCTTTTCTGTAGTGAGAGGCAGAAAAGAGGTGTGTAGGTAACTTTAGGATCAAGGCCAGTGATTGTTAAGTTTTGTGACCACTAAAAATCCTTTTAATTTTTCTTCTGTGGATATTGTGTTTCAAATAAGTGGTATATATTAAATAATAAAATATTAGAACATTAATATTTATTAGACACACATTATTAGATATATAATATTTATTAGGGATACATTTCCAATGAGAATTTCTTATTAGTCTGAGATAACCTCTCTAGTTAATATTATTCAGCCCCAAACAAAGAAACTTGGCATTTTATTTAGCCTGAATAGCTTTGTTATTGGTAACTATTTGGATATTTTTGACTTATTGAAATACTCATAATAGTACCTGAGTTTTCATCTAATACTGTTGTAGAATCCTATTGGTCTGGTCACCGCAGATTGAGAACTAATGATCTACAGTACAGACATTTTGTCCTTAATCTCTGAGATTTCATGAAATATAATGAAGGCCAAATAGCATAACCTAACAAACAAAGATACCATAGTTACCAGACAGAAGAAACAAGAAAAAAGAAAAAATGAAGTGGTATTTATTGTAGAGAATATCAGGGATGTACTCAAAACAGCTATACATTTTGGCCCCATTAAATTCATATATATGTATCTCTACTATTTTCTGCCATGAAGCTCTCAAAACAAGTATTACTTAAGTTAATGTATTTATTTTGTAATTTTATGTTGGTTTTCTTCTCTTCAAATTTTCTCATATCTCCATTCCTCCCATTTATATCCCTTCAACTCAGTTAATGACCCTTCTCTAACATGAAGCCTTAGCTGCTAACCCTAATCTACAGTAACTTTTATATCATGTTGATTCTACTAGTTCTTTTGTGAATAATTAATTATATTATAGCTTATATTTAACTTTACTAAAGAGTTACCATAAGTTGTTTGAGGGCAACCTTGTACATCATTTTATCTTCCTTAGCATCTAGTGTGGGAACTCTGGTAGCATAGTGCCTAAGGCACTTGACTGCTAACCAGAAGGCTGCTAGTTCAAACCCACCAGCCACTCCTCAGAAGGAAGGTTGGGCAATCTACTTCCGTAGTGATGCCGCTTCAGAAACCCAAGGAGGGGTCACTATGACTCGGGTCCGACTGGACAGCACTTACAAACAACAACAACTAGCATCTAGTGCAGTAATACATATTTGGTTGGTTCTAAGTAAATATTTGTTGAATGAGAGATAGTCTTGCCAGTAATTGCTTCAGTGCTACATTAATGCTCCATTGCTTAATCATGTAATGAAGCTGTCTATAATGTTTCTAGAAGGAGCCCTGGGCTCATTTGTTAAGCTCTCTGCTGCTAACTAGAAAGATTGGCAGTTCAACCCATGAGCCATTCCATGGAAGAAAGATGATGCAGTCTGCTTCCATAAAGATTTGTGGCCTTGGAAACTCTATGAGGCAGTTCTGCTCTGTCCTATAGAGTTGCTAGGAGTCAGAATTGATGATGGCAAGTTTGTTTTGTTTTAGTTTTTCTAGAAATCAGACTATTGGTTATCAGTATTGTTACTCTTTTAGTGTTGTGGTAGTTCAGTTTGTGTGTCAGCTTGGCTGGGCTTGGTTGAGTGGCTGCACAGCTGGGTGTAGTATTCCCCATGATGAGACTGGTAATCAACTCCATGGTGAAATCTACTGTGAGTAGCTGAGTAGCTGCCTTTGGGTATGTGGTTTGCTTCCCGTATATAAGAAACAGCTTTGGAGGATGGTCTCTAGCTTATGGCATGCTTGGACCTGCATGTAGCCGTGTCGTTGTCAGCAGCCTGCCATGGTCTGCCGACCTCGGGACTTGCAATAGACTTAAGTTAATGGCCTGCCATGTGGTTTGGTAACATCGGGACTGTGCCTTTGTACTTGTCAACCTTGGGCTTGTCAGTCTCAGGAACCAGCAGCTGTCTGAGTGAAGAAACGCCTCTAGCTCCAGTGACCGGGAGCAGGAGGCAGAGCTGAACCCCAAGGTTGAGGGGCTTTCACCCAGCCCCTAGAGCTTGGCACTTTGAACTTGGACTTAAAGCCTCCAAATTGTAAGAATAAACTCCTGTTTGTTAAGGCCATCCCATTTGTAGTATATTCTTGTCAGAGCGGCACTAGGTAACTAGAACAGCTGTGTAACACATGAATTTGTTATATTTGATTATTTAACATTTACATGCTACCTATAGAGAAAGAATAAGCTGAACTTTATTATAAGTAAATCAAAAGAAACATACTGGAATCTAGCATCTTGGGTTTTATATTTTAGGAAGATATAATTTTAAATTTACTGGTACATAAGTTTTAAAAATTATTATAGCATTTTGATGGGATTGTAGATTAAGAAGATGGGTTCTAAAGCTGACAACTACGACGCTGGATGATGAGTGATCCAGTGGTCATAACAGACCAGTTGCCGAACTTAACTGAAGGTTAGTGATTGTCAGAAACAATTAAAAATTATTTTATTAAAAGAAAATTTGAATCATTTTACCTCTCATTTATAGTAGTTATTATATTATGCACTTTGTAAACATTATTTTATCTATTACCCTTAACAACTCTGTCAGGTAAGTTTTGTAATCCATTTTTACAGACGCAGAAAACTGAGGTATAAAAAGGTAGAATAACAGCGCCACACAGCTGTCAGTGACACAACAGGTCTTTCTGTCTTTAGAGTACATATTTTGAATCTTTTTCCAGATGCTCTGGTGCCATAGTGCATATGGCATTTGACTGCTAACCAGAAGGCTGGCAGTTCAAACTCACCAGCCATTCCTCGGAAGGAAGATTGGGCAATCTACTTCCGTAGTGATACTGCCTCGGAAACCCAAGGAGGGGTCTCTATGAATTTAATCAACTTGACGGCAGTGAGTTTGGTTTGGTACTGTCTTTTTCCAATACTCAAGTGTAATTTTTCTGTAATTTTAGAACTTGACCAAACAGGAATTCTGGCAGCTGGTCCACCAGAACTATGGCACTGAGCTAGGCTTAAATCCTGAAGAAATGGAAAACTTGTCACTGTCAATTGAGGATAATGTACAGCCAAGGTATGCCATAATGCTTTAAAATGTCAAGATTTATTAATCATTAATTGAAAAAGACATATTTTAGATTTTACCAATTCAAAATTTCTATTAATACACCTTGGGTGAAATTTGTCTTTGTTTTCTGTGGTGAATCGAATAAAAGTTAAGAGCAGGGAATAGTTTGATAAACAGATAAGCAAATATAGGACATATAAGCAAGTATTTCACTGCTCATTTGTCAGTTTGTTGTACTGTGGTGGCTTGTGTGTTGCTGTAAGGCTGGAGGCTATTCCATCAGTATTTCAAATACCAGCAGGGTCACCCATGGTGGACAGGTTTCAGCAGACCTTCCAGACTAAGACACATTAGGAAGCAGTACTTGGTGATTTACTTCTGAAAAAAATTGGTCAGTCAAAACCTTAATGAATAAAAGCACAACATTATCTGCTATAGTGGTGGAAGAGGAGCCCTTCAGGTTGGAAGACACTCAACATACAACTGGGGAAGAGCTTCCTCTTCAAAACAGAGTCTACCATAATGATGTGGATGGACTAAAGCATTCAAGATCTGCATTTGCTGATGTGGCATGACTCAAAATGAAAAGAAATAGGTGCAAACATCCATTAACAATTGAACATGGAATGTGTGACATATGAATCTAGGAAATTTGGAATTAATAAAAAATGAGATGGAATGCATAAAGGTCAATATTCTAGACATTATTGAGCTGAAATGGACTGGTATTGGCCATTTCACATTTGGCAAACATATGATCATGCTGGGAATGATAAAGAGGAATGGGGTCACATTTTTTGTCAAAAAAGTGCATTTGAAGATCTAAAGTACAGTGCTTTTTGTGCTAGGATAATATCCATGTTCCTACAAGGAAGACCATTTAATTTGACTATTATTCAAATTTACAAACTAACCACTAATCTCAAAGACGAAGAAATTGAAGTTTTTTTTTTTCTTTTTAAACCAACTTCTGCATTCTGAAATTGATCAAACATGTGATCAAGATGCATTGGCAATTACTGGTGATTAGAATGCAACAGTTGGAAGCAAAGAAGAAGGATTGGTAGATGAAAATATGCCCTAATAATAGAAATCATGATGGAGATCTCATGATATAGAATTGTCCAAAGTAACAACTTATTCAGGGCAAATACCTTTCTTCAATAACATAAATGGCAGCTATACATGTGGACCTCACCAGATGGAATACACAGGAATCAAATTGACTACATCTCTGGAAAGAGACGATGGAGGATGGCAATCATCAGCCAGAACAAGGCTAGGGACTAACTGTGGAACAGATCATCAGTTGTTTGCATGCAAGTTCATGTGGAAGCTGAAGAAAATTAAAACAAGTCCACAAAAGCCAAAGTATGACCATTGACATTTCTGACCTTAATTTAGAGACCATCTCATGAAAAGATTGATGCATTGAGCACTAATGGCTGAAGACCGTATGAGTTGTGGGATGACATCAAGGGCATCATACATGAAGAAGTCAAAAGGTCATTAAAAAGACAGGAGAGAGAGGTTCCGGCAAGATGGTGGACTAGGCAGAAGGATTGCACAGACACTCTTCAACAAAGAAAAGGGAAACCAATTAACACAGACACAGAAGATAA